ACACACACACACACACACACACACACACACACACACACACACACACACTTCATACTGCATAAGAGAAAAACATGTACCTCCCACTCACCACCATCTTCCTGTCTACCTCTTCCTCCTTTCCTCCTTGTTTTTGAGATATGGTCTCTCAATACATGTTCTGGTTGGTCTGGTGATTGCTAAATAAAACAGCCTGTTTTTGAACTATTGGCCATCTTCCTGTCTCAGCCTGCCAGTTACTAGAATTATAAGTGTACACCACTACATTTAGTTTCCTTCTTCCATGCCCAAATAGAGATGGAACCCAGGGCTGTTTGCATACTAGGCAAGTGCTCTACCATTGTTATATCCTCAGCTCAGCAATTACTCTTCTTGAGCCATCTCAAATTTCATTGAGGCTGCTAGGAGAAATGTTTCTCTGGTAACAGATAGCAAAGTCAAGTACTTATGTGATGTAAAGGAAGTACTTCTCAAACGCAGCACTACATAATATTCACAGCAACAAGACCGGATTGTATTTATTTTGGAAAAGCTTCCCAACTGAGCAGTAAAACAGGGTAAAAAAAATGTGTGCCTCATGTTTCTTCATTAAAATGAGTTGAATGTAATGGAATCTTCCACTTACCAGCTTAGCCGGTCACTCCATTAGAGAAATATCCATGCTACCCATATCTTTGTAGAAATTAGGCTTTGTGCTTTTTATATCTGCATGGATTTAGATCTTCATTGGTAGTGAATAATCAGGAACATGTTCTATACAAGAGGGACTCAGTTTGTCTTCAAAGAAAATGGTGTCAATGCTAAGTGGTCATCTGTTACTTAGTTTTACCAGTAAGAGACTTACAATCATATATGCACAGTAACTATTCCGAAGAGTAATTATTTTCTCAGTTACGTACTTATTCTGTCTTAGACACAATCCTGACTAAGAATGTTTGTGTGTTTTGAGTGAGAGTGTGTAGCCCAAATGAGACTGAGTAGAGCAGTATATGATCCTGCTTATAAAGCCTATTGTTTCTTGTCTTGGTCAGTATCCAACTGAGAATTTAAGGATGAACCATTTGTAATTAAATATTTCAGAGTGGAAAAAGAAATGTTATTTCTGGAATTTCTCTTGTAATTCAAAAGTTGTGCTCATTTGATTGCTTCCTTAGGAGGAATTTTGTGCACTGCAGCCTATGTATTAAAGGGTGTTTTTCAGTGGCTTTGTTAATTCTTCAACTCAACTATTGTAACACAACATGTTACATGAACATGGCTGTGTTTCTGTAAAACTTTATAAGTTAAAATTTTAATTTTATATAATTATCTTAGGTCAATCAAGAGAGATAGTCCTGTTTAATCTTCCTTTGGCTATTTAAAATATACAAATGGGTTCAAGCATATACTTTCTCCTCTAGCAGATTCAGGGTATTAGGGCTTGTGTTGATGTCCTTGACCCATTTAGAGTTTAGTTTTGTGCAGGGTGAGAGATAAGGCTGTGTTTTCGTTCTTCTACATGTAGCTATCCAGTTTGACCAGCACTGTTGAAGATACTAATCAGCCTTTTCTCCAATGTGATTTGTTGCCTTTTTTGTCAAAAAATTAGGTGGCTATTGGAGTATGGGCAGATATGTGGGTCTTCAGTTCTATTCCATTGTTTTTATGTCAGCATTGTGCTGGGGTTTTGTTGTTGTTTGTTTGTTTGTTTGTTTGTTTATGGCTCTGTTGCCTAACTTAAAATCTGCGATGGTAATAACCTCAACATCTTTTGTTGGTGTTTTTTTTTAAATGTTCAAGATTGTTTTAACTATCCTGGGTCTTTGTAGTTTCATAAGCAATTTAAGATTGTTTTTTCAATTTCTGTGAAGAATTGTGTTGGAATTTTGATGGGGATTGCATTGAGTCTGTAAATAGCTGTTTATAGAATGGCCATTTTCACAGTATTCATCCTACCAATCCATGTGCGTAGAAAGCCATTCTATTTTTTGGTGTCTTCTTCAGTTTTTTCTTCATTGCCTTAAAATTTTTATGATGCAAGTCGTCCACTTTCTTGGATTTATTCTAAGAGGTGTTTTGTTTTGTTTTGAATACTATTATAAGTGGGATTGTTTCTCCAAACTTCTTGGTGTATGTTTGCTGTTTGGCTTTTGATTTTTTTATATGTTAATTTTACATCCTGCTACTTTGTTGAAAGTGCATACCAGCTATAAGAGATTTCTGTGGAGTCTTTAGGGTCTTTATGTATAGAATCATATCATCTGCACATAAGGTTTCTTTGACTTCTTCGTTTCCTATTTGTATCCTCCATATCTCCTTCTAGTTTAGACTTTAAATGCTATATTGAACACAGTGGGGCAGAGTAGATGTCCTGTCTTGTTCCTGATTTTAGTTGAAATGCTTTGAGTTTTTCTCCATTTATGAAGATGTGGGCAATAGGCTTGCTATATATTTCCTGTATTATATATCCTCTGTGTTCCTATTCTCCAAGGATTTTGTCAAAGACCATCTAATGAGAGAGATGTCATATGGTCTCTGTTCTTGAGTCTCTTTTATGTGGTAGGTTACGTTTGTTGATTTATGTGTGTTGAACCATCCCTGCATCTTTGGGATGAAGGTGACTTGGTCATGGTGGATGATATTTTTTTTAATTTTATTTTTCTTATTAGTTACATTTTGTTAACTCATGGTGGATGATCTTTTTTGTGTATTTTTGAATTTGGTTTACAAGTATTTTTGGGGGGGGGAACTTTTGTAGCCATGTTCTTTCAAAAATAATTTTTTTGTTGGGTCTTCATCCAGTTTTAGTATTAGGGTGATATTGGCTTCATAAAAAGAATTCGGAAATGCCCTTGCTATGGAATAATTTGAGGAATATTGATGTTACTTCTTTGAAGTTTTGATAGAATTCCACACTGAATCCTTCTGGCCCTGAGATTTTTAAAGTTAGAAGATTTGGTTTTGTTTTGCTTTTCAAGACAAGGTCTCACTACATAGTCCTGTCTGTCCTGGAATTCACTCTGTAGGCAATGCGGGCTTGAAACTCAGAGATCTTCCTACCTCTGCCTCCCAAGTACTGGGATTAAAGGTATGTACTTCCACTCCTGGCTAAGTTGGAAGAGTTTTAGTTGTTGTTTCAATCTCATTGGATGTTTTGAGTCTGTTTAAATTATTTGGTGAGATGGCTCTGTGGGTAAAAGTGCTTGCAATGCAAGGTGACTTGAGCACAATCCCTGGAACACATGGAAATGCGGAAAAAACGAACCAATTCCACCAAAGTTGTTCTCTGACCTCTACAACACATGTGCTTTGACACATTCCTACGCATGCATGCGTACACACACACACACACACACACACACACACACACACACACACAGACAGTAAAAAACAAATTAAAAAAAAATTAGAGTTAAAATGACCTGAGCTGTCATTTTTCAGTTCCTGCTCTTAACCAATGAAGGACAACAGAAATGTTAATTCAGGTACTGCCTGCATCACTGTGGACATTAGTTCAAGAAAATGTAGTAGCGTTGAACAAGTGTTTGAAAAGGCACTCATTAGATTGACAGTATTTTTAGTGTGCCTTCAGAAATGCTTCCTTCCCTAAGTTCCCAATCAGTTACTGTTGAGTATCCTCCTCCTCCTCCTATGTGGAGTACCAGCTACACTCACAATGCTGTTGTCCTCATATCTTGCTCTTTGCAAACCTTTCTTTGTGCTTCTTCTTCTTGTAGTTCTTCCTCCCATGATTTATCTGGCTCATGGGAGCACACAAGCCTACAGCGCACTTCTGACCACTTCAGTTCCGTGAGCAGCATAGACAGCCTGGACCACAGCTCCCAGCTCTACCCATCTGGACACCTCTCATCTGCCAAGTCCAACAGCAGCATTGACCACTTGGGTGGCCACAGCAAGCGGGACTCAGCTTATGGTTCCTTTTCTACTTGTTCTAGCACCCCTGACCACACCTTGCCCAAGGCCGATGCCTCTTCTACTGAGAACATTCTCTACAAAGTTGGCCTTTGGGATTCCTCTAGGCCAGGCACCAGCCGACAGAGCCAGTCTGCAAATGATCCTCAGGGACTGCAGGACAGGCCATCACATTTCACACCCAGAATTCCTGGTAATAGGAGTAAAAGCCCAAGGCCAGAGGATAATGTTGAGCCCAAAATAGCCACTTCTGGGAGAGCCAATTTTGGGCCTATCTGGTATGTTCCTGACAAGAAAAAAACCCCATCTTCTCCTCCTCCTCGTGCACCTCCTTTGCGCAGTGATAACTTTGCTCTGGCAGCAAGGGGTCATGAAAAGGCACGGGCCCCTCCGTTTTCAGACTTAGCCAGTATGCAGCACTTTACCACCCAGCCCCATGTGCAAACCTGGGGAGATCACAGACTGGAAACTACAGATCGACAGTGGAAGCTTGCACACCCAAGCAGTGGCAAAGAAATAGAAAATTTGGGTTACCAGCCAGAAGGCCACCTAGTTTGCCGTTGGCTATGCTCTGATGATAGAGCAGGCAGATCCACAGGGGCTCCAGGCAGGCTCCAGTTCTCCCTGTCTAGCTCAGATGTGCAATTCCTGAAGTCTAACCATGGGGGTCAGCACACACGACAGTGCAGTGACGAGAGCACAAGGGTCCCCTCATCACCAAGGGAGTTGCCTCATATAACTGCTGGCAGAGGTCTGCAGGAGCCTCTTGCACTATCCCAGGATGACAACCCCGCTCAGGTAAGGTGTCCTGGTTTTGCCAACCAGAAGCTGGATGAGAGAGGGAAGAGCCACTATTTTTCTGTACCCTCCAGGCAGCCTGTGCAGGGGAATGCCCAAGTTGTGATACCGCGAGGTGACTGTTGGCATTCAGACACAATTCCTGTGGACCTTGAATATCCATTCTTGCGCCTAATGAGCCAGAGGGGCTACCTACAGCAGCATGAGGAGACCCTGGCCTCTCATGAAAGAGAGGGGTATCACCAGCTAAATGAAGGAGTTGAAGGCTGCTGCTCAGGAATCCAAGAGCCTCCTAGAGCCAGCCATACTGTAAGAGCTGGTCTGCAGTGTCCTGGCGATGACTTCAAGTTGGTGGATGGAGAGAATATTTCTCGTCAAAAGACACCTATGCTGCACTCTCTGACCCAAGATGGGGCATGGAGACCTGAGAACAGCAAGGATTGTGAAAACGAGAAAGCACCACTGCTCGATGGCCAGATGAGTAAGCCCACACGGAGGAGTGACCGCTTTGCCACAACACTGAGGAATGAGATCCAAATGCACAGAGCAAAGCTGCAGAAGAGCAAGAGTACAGTGACACTGGCTGGAGATAGTGAAGCTGAAGACTGTGCTGGAGACTGGAGAGCTGATGTGGAGGCTGTCCCAGAAGGTTCCTTCCCCATCATCTATAAAGAGCACCTGAAGGAGGCCCAGACACGTGTCCTGAAAGCCACCTCTTTCCAGCGCCGTGATTTAGATCCCACCCCAACAGATCAGTATCAAGGACCACCAGAACACAGGACTTGTGACCACACCGCCTCATCTTCTTTATCTTCTTTCCCTGGGGAGCCAGACACTGGCTCCTACCTCTGTGAGGCAGGTCTGGCCAAGGCACCCTCTTCTGGAGGAAGTGTATCCCACATTCTCCGAATTGGAGGTCGGAAACGGTTCACAGCAGAGCAGAAACTGAAATCCTATTCTGAGCCAGAGAAAATAAATGAAGTGGGGCTCTCAGGGGACCACAGTCCTCATCCTAATGTTAGGACACCTGAGGATACTGTGGGTACATTTGCTGACAAGTGGAAGTTTTTTGAGGAAACAAGTAAATCTCTTCTCCAAAAGCCAAGCCATAGGCAAGCTCTCTGTGGGCTCCCAAGAGAGAAAGCTGAGAGGCCACAGACAGGAGCCCATGAGGATGAGAGTACTGTGCACTGGTTCCAGAAGAGGTCACGGGCTACCTCCTGTGGAGAGATCCTCAGTAATGACAGAAAAGTAGAAAAGGCCCCAGAGAAATTGAATCCACCCAGAAGGCTTGGAACCTTTGCAGAATATCAAGCATCTTGGAAGGAACAGAAGAAACCTCTGGAAGCCAGGAGTTCTGGGCGGTACCATTCAGCAGATGACATTCTGGAAGCTGGTCTAGATCAGCAGCAGAGGCCACAATACATTCATGAACGTTCCCGTTCATCACCATCCACAGATCATTACTCACAGGTATGCAGTATTACCATAAGCCAAGACCTAGCTTGCACAGGGCACCACCTTAAGACAGTTAGGGCACACCCAACATATATGATGGCTCACAAAGTTGCAAGTGTGTCATTTTTTAGTTTGAAAGATAAGGGGAATGAAACTGCTTCCAGTGCTATCATTTTAAGTGCCATATTTGTTCAAATACATCTCTTTCATTTTCGGCTCCCTTTTCACTAACTTTCACTTTGCCATCTTTGTACTTAATTAGCTTGTGTCTATTCTGTTGCTAAGCAAATAACTCTAGGTGCTGGGAGACTATAGGAAGAAGTCACTTTATCTAGTGAAGTGGAGATGGGTGCTTTATATAAAGGCTTAACATACACTAGCAATTTCTTTAATGATTTTATTTTCATGTCTGTATGCCACATGTGCCCACAGAAGCTAGATGTACCCCCTAGATCTGCAGTTACAGGAGACTGAGCTGTCTAAGTGTGTGCTGGGAATGGAACCCCAATCCTCTCCATGAGCAGCAAGAACTCTGCTGAACCATTTCTTTAGTACACCCCACCCATTCACTTTTGAAATATCGATGTCAGGGTGTGGCCAAAAATAATAAAAGTTAAAAGTTAATGTAATTTACTCTCTAATATTTGTTATCTTTATATCCCCCTTACCCAATTCCCAGGGTTGAACTTTGCACATTTTAGACAAGCAGTCTACCATGCATTTATACCCATAGTCTTCTTTTTACCTTAGTTTTCTTTTTTGAGACAGGATAACTTTGTAGTTCAGATACACCTTGAACTCGTGATCCTCTTTCCTCATCCTCCTCAGTAGTTGAGATTATAGAATTGCTCTGGTAAAATGCAATTTAATGATGCATTAAATTAGTATACTCTTTCCCCCTTCATAGTGCTGGGAATAGAACATAGGGCCTTAGGATTATTAGGCTATCATCTTTCTTGAACTATACCCTCAGCCCTTTTCTAGCTTTTTTTGTTGTTTTATTTTTTTATTTTTTTTTTTTGAGTTTTAAAACAGGGTTGTAATTCAGGCTGACCTCAAACTCACTTATAAAACAGACTGGCCTCAAACTTACAATCCTCCTGCTTCTGCCTCCCAAGTAATACAATTATAAATGTGTACCACCATACCTGGCCCTCTTGCACTATTTTAGGGGAAAGTTTTGATGCTTGAGTTAACTTTGAGCTTTGTAGAAACCTATATAGTCTTACCAGTATTTTAGTGTCCAATGTCAGTCACTTTACATGTGCTTTTCTTCTTCCTCAGTCCCTCTCTGTGCTTTTTCTGTGTATCTGATCTATGGGGGAAAGATACCTACTATGTTGTGCATGTAAGGATAGTTGCCTTTTTGCTTCTGGCATTTGGTACTAGAAGTGCATGCAAACCTATGGAGAGCTTGTTTCTGCTGTTAATATACTCTGCCTTATTCACAGTTCAGTGTGATCTCTGAGAACTCCATGCCTTCTTAATCAGGATTAAGAATCCGAGCCCCCACAAATCCTACACTATGAAGTTTTTCAGTAATGACTTGTGGCCAGCTGTCTTTTATTATGTTTCTTTTAGCCACATGTGTCACATGGTAACAGCTCTCACATAGGAGTTCTGTTTCCTGCTTAGAACTGAAATAGATGCAGTGGTCCTAAGTCAATGGTCTCAGTAAAGTGCCTTGTGGAAATGAATAGCCATGTACTGTGACCAGCTCTCAAATCTGAGACAATGAGCCTTGCCACAGGCATTGTGGGACAGGCACACAAAGCGAACCCACAAATGAGAGGTTTTATAATAATAGCCGTCTCAGGCATGCAGGCAGTTTGATGACTCTGTGTCTTATGGTGTTGCTCTTCACAGGAAGTGCCTGTTGAGGCAAACAGACAGGCAGAGGACTCTGGTGAGCACAAAGAAGCACTTCCCTGTACACTGCAGACTGAAGAGGAATGCTCTGCTCCAAGGTGGGTAAATTGTGGATTTGGGGTTCATGAAAAGTTTTGTTAGGGGTGAATGCTAGGCTAACAGAATAAGTCTGGGTTTTGCTAATGGAATGTGATTTCCACTATCACTGAGATCTTAGAGTTTGGAGGAGAGAAAACCTGTGGATTCCACAGCACTGCCCAGAGATGCAGTGCAATAATGACCTTTGGTGTTCTTAAAATTGCTGTTGTGTTTTCCTTATAGTAAAATGACTTATGGAGACAAAATAAATGTCCAGTTAATATCCTTGAACAAGTACTTAACTGAACAGATACTTTTGCTGTCGGGCATACAGCTGTGTTTTTAGGCCATGGTCTCCGAACTGTCAGAAACGATTTTAGCCAAGCTTTCTAAATTGGGCTTATTTAATGAGTTAACCTGAAGCTTTAAAGTAGAAGTGATTTGACTCTTCAGAGAGAGGCAAGATCTGTGCTGTTCTAGTGTTACCCGGAACAATCAATTCCAGATTATTGGGGTAGATATAAACATTGAGCTGTGCACAGGATGGATTTGATTATATGTGTACATATTGTGATCTTGCCCTTTGTGTGGAAGGGGAAAGGGAAGAGTGTATATCTGCAGATGTAGTATAACTCTGTGTTACAAGGGCCAGTGAAAGGGTGGAAATCAGTATGCACCACAGTCTTTCCTGAGTGAAGATTTTTCTAATGCCCTGTACATCCTGTGTGGCTGGTATACTATGCAAATGAAACACTGACTTCAAAGTGAAGGTTTTATTGTACAAATAACCAATTTAGATATATGATTTTAAGAGCTTTATATAATGGAGTCCTGTTTCACATGTTTTTCTACTAACTGTTGTTAGCCCTATTTAAAAGTATCACGTTTATGTGAGTCTGAGGTGACCAGATTGATACTCTGTGTGCCTACCTCAGAAATCCCTGCAATTACTTAACAGTCTGCACAGCTAAACTGATGCACCCATGGGTAAGAAAGGCTGCTGAATAATGCGCCTACAGAATTTAGCAGTGTCTGAGGAGGACAATTAGAGCTTTATTCCTGGATTCTGAGTGAGTCACGTGCTGAGCACCAGCTGTGCAGTGTAGGGGGTGCAGCACGCTGCTATGTATAGAGAATGTCACCATGGACAGCTATAATGTGCATGTGGTGTGTGTGCACACGTGATTATGTATGTCAGTGGCACTTTCAGAGCTCACAGGGATAGGAGGAAGGGAGGAAGGGACCTCTGCTTTATTTATCATAGCTGTGTCTTTCAGCTGACCTCTTACCTAAATACTCTGAAGAAATTAGTTCCAGAAGCAGTATGCTTTTGAGTTACATACCTAGCAATTTTCAGAATTGCTCTGTGTGTGTGCATTATGTAAAAGAGTGGCAAGGCCAATGAAATTTTGGAATAGGAATGTTAAAAAGTCATTTTCAGCTTTTTCCCGAGAGTTACTAGAGGATCAGCAAAAAATAATATGCCTAAGAAATTAATGAATAATAAAAATAAGAGACAGTCTATAGTGCAGAAATGTAAAGATATGTAGTGTCCATGCACAGGTTTAAATACACATAAGCATGTTTCTATGAGAAATTAATTGTTGATCTGCTAGTTGATACTTGGAAATGAAAAGTGTTTTTCTTGAATTCTGTTGAGATAACACAAAAACGTTGACATAGGAATTATTTCATTTGCTAATTATTCACTCAATTCAAGTAGAAATGACTCTTTTAAAAAAATAAGTTTTTCTTATTTTTTGAGATATGGTGTCACTTCACACCTGGAAACTCCCTGTGGAGCATGGGTTGGCATCAAACTCATGCTGAAATTCCTAACTCAGCATTTCCTAGGATTACAGAGGGCCGTATCACATCCAACTAGTAATATCATTTTGTGTGTGTGTGTATAAAATCCTCCAGGATGTTACTATGTAGTAGGAAAATAATTACAAGAATTTAAAACTAAAAGAAAAGGACATAATTGTGTGTGTGTGTGTGTGTGTGTGTGTGTGTGTGTGTGTGTGTGTATAAATTTTGTAGGAGCTGAACATGTGCCATATGTCTATAATCCCAGCACTCAGTAGGCTGAGGAAGGGCACTCATAAGTTCAATAAACAACTCTAGGCTATAGAGTAAGAACTTGTCTTAGAATAAACAAACAAACAAACAAGAAGGCACATGGAACATCAGATGGAAGTCAGTGGAGGAGTCTGCTGGATTAAGAGGAAACCACATGGTAGCTGGGTAGGCTGACCACAAATTAGCAGATCCAGTGGCATTTTCTCTCCTCCATCACACCTGGTCCTGAGCACTCCATCTCCCTTGTTCTCACTGTCTTTTCTGTTCTGAAGATATTTTCCTAGAGTTTCTCACTTCTCTCAGGGATTTTCATGCTGAATCTTCAAGCTTATTACAACTAGCAGGGTCTGTTTCTTGCAAATGCATTCCATCACTGATTTGGGAGTGACCTAAATGTTCAGTATCTGATTTCTCAAAGGTTATCATTTTTTTTAAATGGTCTCACAGGGGCTGGTGAGATAGTTCTGCTGGTAAAGGCTCCTGCCACCAAGCCTGTGGACCTGAGTTCCATCCTTGGAATACATATACTGGAAGGAGAGAACCAATTCCTATGAGCTGTCCTCCCGTGTGTGCGTGTGCACGTGTGTGTGTGTGTGTGTGTGTGTGTGTGTGTATGTGTGTGCAAATAGAAATGCAATATAGACATATTTTTTTCAATGTCCTATATGCTGGATAGCTTAAATAGTAGGCATTGAGCCCTTCCCAGTTTTGGAAGCTGAAATGTCTAGCAAGGTCAAAGGAAGGGCTGATTCCTCCTGACTTTGTCTTCTTAGCTTGGATATATGCTCCATGTCCTTGCTGTGTCCTCATTTGATTGATTTGTGTGTCTCTGTCCTAATCTCCAGTTCTTAGAAGGACACTAGACAGATTAGTTTTGATCTAACCTAGTGACCTCATTTCTCCTTAACTACCACTTCAAATGCCTTGTTTGCCTAAAAAGTTATACTCTGAGATACTGAAGATACAGCTAAAACACATTACTTTGGGAGGTCTCAACTTGGTTCTTAACATTTGGAGATATGCCCTTCCTTTTTTCATATACCTTTATGTTAGTGAGTTCTCTTCCCATGTCAGCTTTCTTACATTCACAAGTGAATGGAAATCATTTACAGTGAAGAATAATAAAGGAGCTTCTGTCTTATGTGTGGCTCCCTAATGGGGCAGGGTAGGGGCTTCAGAGCAACTTATAACTGTAGCCTTATTGTATAGTCCCCACCTCTGTTCAGTAATTCTGCTTTTCAGAGTTTGGCTTTGTGTGGCATTTTGGTCATTTCCCTTAACATCAGGTATGATGTCTGGGTGTCTGCTTCTGTCCTTTCCTCTACCAGAATCCCTTTTGCCAGCCCTTTGTGAGCTAACCTTGTTTGACCAGCTGTAATTGGCTTCCTGGAATTTCTAAAATTCTTACATTCTACCTTCTCTCTTTCTATTTTCCCTATTCATGCCACCATGTTCTAAGTTAACCAATCAGTAGAAGACAGTAATGTTGAACCCCAGGCAATGAGGAACAGGCAATCCCTCCCTGTTATATTACAGATAAAAGACTGAGGCCATGTAGGCCATTTGTACTGCTATTCTGCTAGCTTTATCTTGGGGCATAGCACACTCTTTTTGCAAAAGAGAAATTGTCATGCTGAGTTACTTTCACTTTGTTCATGTGTACCTTTTTGTTACACCATTTTTAGTTTTCCTAACACACTCGAAGTAGATGCCCATTATACTGTGAATAATGATGCCCTCTGCCATCTGGGATAATGGGAGGAGAATGATGACTCTTGGATTCAATATAATAGATACATTTCCACACCATTGTCCTGCTTTCTGGACTCTCCTTTCTCATTCATGATGGGAAGTTTGGAAGAACAGGATTCTAATTTTTCACTACTGTTTATCAGATGTAGTTCCAACGTAGATTAGGTGCCAGATAAATGGTTGGTGGATTAGTGGACTGGTGAAGGGGTAGATGTATAAAGGAACAGACGAATAAACTCATCCTTGGGTATATGGATGCAGAGATGGATAGGTGGATGGATGAATGGATGGGCAACTGAATGGATGAGTGGGCAGATGAATAGGATGAATAAGTTGATTGTTTATGGGTATTTCATTATGATATAGATTAGGGCTCTTCAATCAGATTCATTTTCTCTGCCAGTCAAAGAAGTAAAAGGCAAGAAAAATCTTGAGCATGACAGGTAGCAGCAGAGAAATCTTAACCAGAAACAAGCAGACAGAAATGGTTGAAAAGCATTTATTTGGTGGGGAGGGGTGAGGGGGATGAAGAAACATGGGTATGCAGCCGACACATGGAGAAAATGGCCTTCTCTAAAGCCTGAGGAGGAGGGAGATTCAGGAATCCAAAAATTCAGTATTTTCGTGAGGGAGGGCTGGGTATTTTTAAAGTCTCTGAAGAGTTTTCCTCTCCTGATTTAGGATTGGTCAGTTTGAAGAAAGAGATGGTTGGTTGGCTCACAACTCTTGTGGAGCACATTTTTATCCTGCCACAAACTTGTTGAGCCAGTTCATCAGCAGTGGCCTTACTGGCAGGAAAAAAAAAAGCCACAAGGCCTTTAAGCTGCAAGGCTTTTGTCTAAGGTCAGAAGAGTGAAGAAGCAGCAAGCCATTTTGGAAGTTCACTATCTTTAGTACCTAGCCATGGCATCTTTCTTTATCTGATGGCTGACCAAGGAGTTTGTCCAACTCCTAGTCCCTCAGACAGATGGATGTGTGGATGGATAAATAGGTAAATAGATAGATGGAAAATTGAGTGGATACATGGATAAATGAAGGGCTGATGGGGGATGTGTAGATAGATGAATGGTTTGGGTATGGGGATGATAAATGGGTGAATGTGTAGACAGAAGTATACGTGGGTAGATGGATAGTTGGGTTGGTAGATTGAGTAGATGTTTTCCTGCTCAATCTCCCTTGAGTCCTT